GGCTTTGGATTGGGAACGACGATTAAGAAGTGGGATTTAACCGTGGGGACGTATTTGGCGGAGAGGAGGTGGTCGTGGGTTCTCAAGATTTCGACGGCTTCCGCTGGGGAAGAGGTGACGAGTTGGTGGCCCAGCCGGAGGTGGTGGTCGGTTCTTGGATGACGCCGAGGATGTTGATAGAGAGTGGGAGGAGAAGAAGATAAGAGTTGCCCAGATTGCTTTATGATTTTTTATTTTAATTTTTCGACCCAGTTGCCCCGTTGCTTTATGATTTTTTTTTCAATTTTTTTTAATCCACGTCAGTTGGTGGGGACAGTAAATCGCCAGATCAGCATCTTTCGTTTGTACAGTCATACCGTCAACTAACGCCGTTAATAAAATGGACGGAATTGGTTATTTTTTGTTTTCGAAGAGTTATGGCTATATTTGTCACAAACATGAAAGTCATGGCTATACAAGTGTATTTTGCCTTAAGTTTTTAATGTAATTCTAGTAATTTTAAGGAGGATAGCAATGTAAATTGATATCAGTGGGCCTCATGATTAACAGATTTATGTGGGTAACTAATGAGGTGGTCTTTTCGCCTCTTCGGCAGCGAAAGAAGGGGAATCATGACCGAGAAGCCGAGACGGGGCAGAGGTTTCTACCGTAAACAGGGGATGCGAAGAGGGATCTGCCGATTTCGATGAGAACAAGAAAGAAGAGAAAGATGTTTTTTTTATAAGAAGCGTTGCTTTCTTTTCTTGATAAACGATGGTTGGGTAAAACTTTATTTGTATTTGTTCTTATCATCAGAATACAAATACAAATAATATAATAGTTAATATAGGTTAGTTATCCCGTCAATATAATAACATTGATTGATTCATGTGAATTGAGAATAAATAACAATGCAATCAAATTGGTGATGGTTTACTGTAATTTTTAGCTGGATATGCACGAATCACAAACTTTAACTTGTATGAGATAATTGTGATGAGTTTAAAAAAAAAACATTCACAGCAACCAAACAAGAATGATCAAAACCCACATCTACATATACATGCTAACGGATCTACTTCCGGGGAACAGAACAGCTACAGAATGACCAAAATGAGTCAAAATCGGATTGAGACCGGGTTGGGTCAAAACCGGACCGGGTCAAAATCGGACCGGGTCAAAACCGGACTGTACCCAATCCAAACTTTGGTCCCCATATTTTCAAAAAAACCGGACTGGGAGCCGATCAATTCGGCCCAATTTAACCGGACCGGACCGTATTGCCACTCTACGTCCGATATCACATTTTCCCCCCAGCTCCAGAGCAATACCTAGGTCCCCCAAGTGTAGCAACAGAGTGCAATAAAGACAATGAGAATATATTAGCATGAGACCCAGCCTAATAGCCTACTAAACAGCTTCCAATGGAAGGAAGGGATTATGTTTAGTATGTTGACAGAAAATATAGAGAAAATGCAGAAGAAAAATTGTGGAGAAGAATATGAGAAACAACTATATAGCACAAAATACAAATATAATATTTTGAAAAGTTCCTCAATTTTGAAACAAATAATTAGCAACTCACCAAGTGGATGAATAGAAGAAACTGCAAGATAGATTGAGCTCTAAGGAAGAAGCTACAATATGAATCCAACCCTGCTTAATTAACTTCTTCATTCCATGCAATTTGCAAGATTCCATATCCAATTTCATTGCATTTAAATCAAACATCAGGAAAGATAGAAAGAGATAATAAATTCCATTCTAATCTCATGGAAGGATTAGAAAGTAAAAATCAGATTGGAATATGAATATTATGGAAGGGGCATGCTACCAAACCAAAGCATCCATTCACCACTAACGGAACATATACAATACTTAAAAAAAAAACTTATACAATCGATTCTAAAGGTTCAATCAAAGTTTGTATGTTTAGTCTGCTTAATCAAATGAAACCCAAGATGAACGTCCTCGATCACGTTCAAATTATATGAATGGCAAGCTGATTTATGGTAGAAATTAAGAAATTAAAATCTTTTAAACGACTCCTTACCTCCTTCTGCCTCTCAAGATCACCATCAGAATGAATCAAACTGTTGCTGAATCTGCATTCCATTGGGAGTAATTCTGCGGTTACTGTACGTTCCCCCAGTCGGCTATAATTTAACGGATTGATGTTTTGGGGCTTTGATTTGGGGCTTGCTATTTTCCGCCAACTAAAAAAAAAAGTATATATGTATATCTTTGGTTAAGAAGTTTCACAATCTACAACATATTCAACTTTCAGAAAACGTATTGAATCAGAAAAAATCGACGCTCGCCGGAAAAGTCGCTGGAAAACCATCGGGAAAGCTCATCCTCGACGTAAACCATCGAGAGTACATGTCTATATGAACCATGTGGGATAGCAGAGCATCCCATGCAGCATCAAAACTCTCAGGAATCCGAATGACATATCCACCAGGTGCCTCTGGTCGGTCTGCTCGCTGAGGACGCGAAGGGGGAGGCGGTACCATCTGTCGGTATCCAAACTGTCGGAGGCAACGGGATGGATCATAGAACTCGCCTATATCAGCGAAGCGAATCACTCTAGTGTACTAAGAGCGACGCACTACCTGATGAGGCCTCTGATGGAAAGGTGTCCAAAACACATCAGAAGGGGTCAAGCTGTCAAGAGCTCGACGGTAGACTGCCAACCTCACATTGGGATCAGCCACAAAACCAGGTGTCGGCTGCCCAATCCATCGTGAAACCCAAGCCTCATCAGGTCCAACGACAGGTGGCCTGAAACCCGGAAAGTACTCGTAGATCCAACACTGCAGAAGTGTGAGACAACCAGCCACCCCCCAGGCACCAGCACGAGACGCCTGACCAAGGCATCTGTACAACCAAGCAAGTGTACCTGACGCCCAACTGTACTGATCTATCTCCTCCAACTCGTCCAAAAATAGTTTCACCACCGGCCGAACCCTGTCTCTACTCTTGTCCAAAAACAAAGTGGACCCCAACATCAACAACAAGTACGACTGCGCCTCTGTCACATGTGTCCCGTTCACCTGCAAGTATCTTGACGCCATCTCCGCAAGAAAACCACCCTTCTCGTACCACTTACCCCTACTAGCAAATCCAAGGGCCTCCGAACGACCACTCAACTGCTCCGAGTTCATCCCAAGAAGCGCACACAAACCCACCTCCGGATGGTCAAGCTGCACAGAAGTCCTACTCATCAGTCGTCCCTCAACAGGAATCTGCAGTAAGTACTGAACATCGTGGAGGAGGATCGTCATCTCTCCAAAAGGCAAGTGGGAGGTGTTCGTGTCTGGCTGCCACCTCTCCACAAAAGCTGATATCAAAGCCTCGTCAATCGCTATCTTGCGGAACATAGAGTAGATCAGGTGCTGGAGACCTGACTGCTGAACCAGATCCTCCGTCTCAAAATGACTAAACACGTAGCTACCCAGATAATCAACCGGCGATGTACGGGTGTAGCAACTGATGACCCCTCGATCTCCAAGCCCCGTCCAAAGCGCATAGGAAGCGTGGCCACGGATGCTCCTAATGAGGCTAGGATCCGTAGGTCCACCAGGACACTCACCAACAAGCTCCCACGGTGGAGGACCACTCAAACGTCCTCCCCTACTCCGTCCAGTCCCCGAGCTCTCTGTCTCCTCACGAGCAGGGGGTACGAATCGCCCAGCTCGGTCCCTATACATAGCAGGACGTGATGTTGCCGTACGAGACGACACTCGTCCATGTCCACGCGTAGGTGGAGGGACCTCGATATCCTCATCATTATCGTCCTCATTAAACTCAGCCGAGACTACTCTCGATGCAGCACCCTGGTTCCCCCCATGGTAACCAGACGCCCGTGATGACGAACGAGCAACTACAGTAGGAGCCTCTGACTGATGTCCAATATCTCGAGAGCGCTTCTTCTCCTTATTCTTCTTAGGCACCTTCCTTCGTGTTGATGCGTCAACAACCCTACCATTGAATCTATACAACTCACTCCCACCCGCATCATCCATATCTAATTATCTACAAATTTACACAATATCATACTTAGATGCGCACTAATTAATTAAATTTCTATTAACTAATGTACTATTAACATTAATTGTTAATTAATCACAAATTTACACAATATCATACTTAGATGCGGACTAATTAATTAAATTTCTATTAACTAATGTACTATTAACATTAATTGTTAATTAATCACAAATTAATTAATATCATACTTAGATGCGCACTAATTAATTAAATTTCTATTAACTAATGTACTATTAACATTAATTGTTAATTAATGACTAATTAATTTATTTTCTATTAACTAATGTACTATTAACATTAATTGTTAAGCCAATTCTTAATTATTATTTTTTTCGTTAACAGGAAACATGCTCTCAACTGTGATTAGCGAAACTCCTGTGTCGACGCCGGGGCTTCTCCCCTCGGACCGGCCACCGGATACAAGTCCAGCGATCTCGGACGTGGCTCCGGAGACGGCAACCGAACCAAACTCGACGGGGATGATGATCGATCCCAAGATAATAGGACAACAACCCGATCATCTTGCGATGGATCAGCAAAAGTTCTCATACGCGAACGCGGTGGCCGGATGGAGCCTCCCTCTGACGGGGACCAACGGAGGTAGCCAATGGACTCCGGTGGGGGAACATGATCTCGTGCCGGGGGAACGGAACAGTGAGCTAGCACTAATGGTGTCAGCGGATTTCAAGAACAAGATCTGTGCTCCGTGGCAACGCGCCTTGGTAGTTCGATTGCTGGGTCTCAAACTCGGTTTCTCGATGCTATGCGCGCGCCTGAGAGGCTTCTGGAGACCGTCTGGTTCAATGGAAGTCAGAGACCTTGATCATGACTGTGTTCTGGTCAAGCTCAGCAACGAGCAAGATTACTTTCGAGCGCTTACTGATGGACCCTGGATGATCGTTGATCATTACTTAGTGGTTTAACAATGGTCACCCATGTTCAAAGTCTCTGATCCACTGCCAAAGACCATGATTGTTTGGGTGCAACTCCCGGCGTTGAAAATTCATTTCTACCACAAGGAAGTTCTCACGTCTCTTGGAAATCTCATCGGACGCACCATCAAACTCGACTACCACACTCTGAATCAACAACGTGCGAAATTCGCCAGACTGGCGGTGGAGGTGGATTTGTCCAAGCATCTGGTTCCCCGGATATGGCTGGATGATGCTTGGCAGAAAGTAAAATATGAGAATTTGCCTGTGGTCTGTTTCTCCTGTGGTAAAATTGGTCATACCGAGGAAGAGTGCCCTGGGAAACGTCCGGCACTGCCACCGCCGGGGTACACCAACCCCAACCCTGCAACGCCGGTGGAAGGGACAACGGGGAATCCGGAGGAGCCGAATCCGGGTTTCGGGCCCTGGTTGTTGGTCACGCGGAGAAGCAGGCGGAATCAAAGGGAGGGGGATAGAAAAGGAAGGATGGGGGAAGAGGCGGATGCGACTGCGATTGGCAATCAGGCAAATTCAGGAAAGTTGTTGGGTAATGGTAGGGGATCCTCCCCAATTAGGGAAAGGGAGACCCAATTTTTCTCTACCCAGATACAGAGATCGGCGAGTCAAGAAAAGAAAGCGATTAGCGGAAAGAAAAAAGGAGAGGAAGGGAATAAGGGGAAGGCCAAAGCTCATTTAGAGGGTAGCTCAGCAGGGAAAGGGATTCTGGGCTCGGGCCCTACTCGCCCCCACACCCAAGCTGTTGGGCCCAAAGCCAGTAGGAATTCCGAGAAGCCATCCACCTCGAACCCGCAACCTGATGCCCAAGCGGATCTTCTCAGCGAGTTTTCTGGGCCGACAGCAGCAGCCAGTCATGTTGGGCCTGTCTCTAAGCCCACCACTCTCCCTCCTCCCCCTGCAACCCAAACGGTGATCGGGCCTAATGGAACGAAAATGCAAATTGTGGAGCTCCGCCCGTCGAGCGATACTACCCAAAGCTCACCGCCGGCGATAGCTCGCACCAAGAAGAATAAAAACAAGAAAACAGCTCCTCTAAGATCGCCGAGTAAACTGATTTCGGCGAAGGCGCTTCAAGTGTGGACTCCCAAGAAGGATCGAAAGTCGAAATTAAAGACTAGAATGGCTTCTCTTACTCTTCAAGAGATAGATGCCTGGACCAAGGTAGCCCAACAATCGACAGAAAGTAGAGGAGCTGTTGGTGAGGCAATCTGTCAAGAGGGAGCTGGCTCGGATGCCGCTATGGCGGCAGTGGCCACCCAACTCGACGATTAATTTCCGACTCTTCTCTTTCGCTCCGTCCTTTCTTCTTTGCTATCTCTTTTCTGCTTTAATGTCGATGTCTGCTTTTTCTAATTTCAAAATTTTGGCGTGGAATGTTGGCGGTGCAGCTGGGAGAGCCTTCCTCCGTGCGCTGAAGCTGGTTCTCCAAACTCATCGGCCAGATTTTATTCTGCTTCTGGAGCCGCAGATTAGTGGCGACGCGGCAAATTTGGTGTGTGATAGCCTGGGTTTTCCTAGGTCGATTCGGGTGAAAGCTGCTGGCCGTAAGGGGGGCATCTGGGTTTTCTGGAGGGATAGCAGCTTCTCGCCTTGCTTGTTGTCGGCGTGCAGTCAACACATTTCTCTTAGAATTGAATCCCCCGCCAGTCCTCCGTGGGTCCTTACTGCCATTTACGCTTCTCCCAGGCAAAGTGAACAACAAGTGCTTTGGGAAAATCTTCTCAACCAGAGCAAGCTAATTGATGTTGCCTGGCTGCTACCGGGTGATTTCAATGCCATTCGGGATTTGGGGGAGAAGTCGGGGCAGCCTGCGAGCAACACGGTGAGACGGTGTCGGCTTTTTAATGAGCGTCTCAATATGGCCGAGCTGATAGACCTGGGTTTTTCGGGTCCAAAGTTTACGTGGACAAGAGGGGAGGAGAGCAACATAGTGAAGGCTAGCAGACTTAACAGGAGTCTGTGTAACCCCCGTGGAACGTGGTGTTTTCGAACATGTCGGTTCTTCATCTTCCTCGTACCGAGTCAGACCACAACCCCATCCTGACCACGGTCCTCTCGCAAGGCAACCCGGGAGCGAGCAGCCGTCCTTTCTGGTTTGAAGCAGCTTGGCTTAGTGATGCCAAATTCCAGGAGCTGGTGAATAACGCCTGGGAGAACCAGGCCCTCCTTCCTAATGCTTTTCGAGCCTTGCAGGTACTCTCCAGCAGTGGAACGCTAATGTGTTTGGTAACATCCAGCAAAAGAAGAGGAGATTTTTGGTACGCATCAGAGGTGTGGAGGACCGTCTTGCCAGTCAGTTCTCACCTAGTCTTGCGAAGCTTCATTCCAAGCTTGAGGCGGAGCTTAACCGGGTGCTAGAACAAGAGGAAATTCTTTGGTTCCAACGTGCTAGAGACAAGTGGGTGAAGTTTGGAGAGCGGAATACGGCTTATTTCCACCAGCAGACCAACCTCAGAAGAAGAAGGAACAAAATTGAAGCACTGCAAGACGAGTCCGATAATTGGGTGAATGATCCCCAATCCCTCGCCTTACTAGTGTTTGATTTCGTTGCTAACCTTTTTTTGCAGGATGGGTCTGTGTATGAGGACAGATTGCCTACAGGTCAATTTCCGCGCTTGAATCAGGAGGAATTGTTGGATATGCTCCTCCCCTTCACGGCTATGGACATTCACAAAGCCATTTTCGATATGAAACCCTTCCAGGCTCCTGGGCCGGATGGCTTTCATGCGGCTTTTTATCAACACTTGTGGAGAGTGGTGGGGAGGTCTTTGACTGATATGGCGCTTGCCTTCTTCTCGACAGGTCAGCTGCCACCCTCAGTCACCGATTCGACCCTGGTTCTCATCCCTAAGGTGGAGATTCCGGAGAAAGTTACTCACCTCAGGCCTATCTCTCTCAACAATGTGTCTCTCAAGGACATTACGAAAGCTATGACTAGCAGATTGAAGCCAGTTATGAGGAAACTCGTGTCTCCTCGGCAGAGCAACTTTATTCCGGGAAGACAAACAACCGAAAACATTCTAGTCGTTCAGGAGGTTCTTCATTCTTTCAGAAAGAAAAGAGGCAAGAAGGGAGGATTGTTTTTCAAGATCGATTTAGAGAAGGCGTATGATAGACTGAGGTGGGATTTCCTAAGAGACACTCTGAAGGAAGTCGGCCTTCCCAGCTCCTGGATTAATTGCATTATGTACTGTGTGGAGCAAAACAGGATGCGAGTCCTATGGAATGGGGAACTATCTCAGCCTATTTTCCCGTCTCGTGGAGTTCGTCAAGGAGACCCTCTTTCCCCTTATCTCTTTGTTTTGTGTATGGAGCGACTATCTCATAGAATTGATCTTGCAGTTAGAGATGGGCTGTGGAAACCTGTGAAGCTCTCTGCGAATAGCCCTCCAATGACGCATCTTTTCTTTGCAGATGATCTTCTCCTGTTCGCGGAAGCAAAAAGTCACCAGATTACTGCAATCAGGCAATGCCTGGAGGACTTCTGTCTCAGTTCGGGGCAACAGGTCAACTACAACAAGTCCATCTTATATGTTTCCCCCAACATTAGCCGCCGGAAAGCTACTCAGCTGAGTCAGAGAGCGGGCATCCCTCTTAAAGCGGCTTTAGGGAGATATCTTGGGATTCAGGCGATTCAGGAGAGAGTGACAAAAGGGCGATACCAATCTCTCATTCTTCGTATCCAAAAGAGGATGGCTCCATGGAAAGCTAAGCGCCTTTCCTTTGCAGCCCGTCTCACTTTAACTCAATCTGTGTCTGCTTCTTTGCCTGTTTACAACATGCAGACGGAGCTCATCCCCATGGGAGTTCGCAAATCTATTGACAAGCTCAACGGAGACTTTATTTGGGGTGACAAGGAAGAGAAAGCGAGGATGCATCTGGTGGCGTGGGAGAAGATGACAATGCCAAGAAAACAAGGGGGTGTGGGCATCCGTTCAACTAGACAAGCCAACCTGGCTATGCTGGCCAAGTGCGGGTGGAGACTTCTTCATGATAAGGACAACATCTGGACTCAGGTGATGAAAGCGAAGTATGGCCGACATCGTCAGAAGCTGGATATGTTTCGTCCAATTCAGGGAAGTTCCTTTAATTGGGCAAGTATTGCTAAAGTAGTTAGTCTGCTTAAGAAAGGGTGTGCGTGGAATATTAAAAGTGGCAGAAAAACTCATTTTTGGCTTGACTGTTGGGTTTCGCAGGTTCCTCTCCGGGAGCTGGCCATTGACAACGTCCCGCCGGAGCTTGAAGGAGCCAAGGTGGCTGATAGGGTGGGGGAAGATGGCTGCTGGAAGACAGAGCTTTTTGAAAGTCATCTCCCCGATGAAGTAACTCGAAGGATCCTGAGCGTGGCGGTGGACAGTGCTTCTGATGAGGAAGATCAATTGTTTAGGCCGGCCTCTGCGGATGGGAGATTTACCACCAAATCAGCCTTCAATCTCTTAACTCAGCACCAACCGGACCAAGATGAGGGCATTTGGAAGATTATTTGGAAGCTGCCCACCCTGGAGCGGGTGCGTTGCTTCATGTGGCAAACTTTTCTTGATTGTGTGAGATGCGCTGGTCAGCCGGAGTCCGTTTTGCACCTTCTCAGGGACTGCACCCCGGCCATGTTTTTCTGGTCCCGCCACGTTCCTCAACACCAGCAAGCATCTTTTTTTAGCTGCAATCAGCGGGAGTGGCTGTGTACGAATCTCACGAGCAGCGAGTCTGCAGGAAATGGTGTCGAGTGGCCGGTTTTCTTTAGCACAACAGCTTGGCTCATTTGGAAGAACCGTACGACGGCGTGTTTCAAGGGAGTTGGGGTGGCAATGTCACCGCCAACCTTGGAGTTCTCCATCCTTGCCAAAACCAAACTCTGGCACGACTCTTGGCACTCATCCGCCCTTGTTCTAGACAGCAGGAATAGGCCGGCGAGGCGCGTGCTGGCAGACATAGGTTGGGGAGGACCGGAGAGCGGCTGGGTTACTCTGAATATTGATGGTGCCTCGAACGACAATCCGGGACCTGCAGGTGCGGGGGGGGGGGGGGGGGGGGCTTTTGCGTGACGGGACAGGAAAGTGGTTGAAAGGGTATGTGGCTTTTGCGTGACGCCACAACAGTTTTGGCGGAACTCTGGGCTTTCAGCCATGGTATGGATCTAGCCTGGAAGGAAGGTCATAGGGCGATCAAAATTGAAACTCACTCTCAGTTAGCTATTCAGCTCATCGAGAGAAGACACGATCCGATTCATCCTCATGCTACCCTCTTAGCAGGTATTCGCAGGAAGATTAGTCGCGAGTGGTTGGTTCGCATTGTACATACATACAGGTAGGGGTGGAAATCGGTACGGTATCGGTATCCCAATACCAAATACCGAAATCCCGAATACGGAATTACACCCTAAAGTCAATCCCAATCCCAATCCCTAAATAATTTCGGTATCCCAATCCCAATCCCAAAATATACCGGTATCCCAATCGGTACTTCGGTATCCCAATCGGTATTATCGAATACGAAATTAATTACCTTTACAATTAATAATTAAATATATTAATTATATTTTATTGTTTAATTTAGGGGAAAAAGACTAAGCAAAGAGTCTTGAATTAGGATATTATTAAGGAGAATGGAGGAGAGGAGACATCTCAAGTTCTTGTCATTATTAATCTTTAATTTAACGAATTGGAGGTTGACAGACGACTATTAATAGTGATGAAATGATCTATGTATAATTAAATGACACTTTTGGTGGTTGAGGGTCGTGTAGTAGTGAATGAGAGAGTTTAGTTGAGAGGATAAAATACACACTAGCTTATATTTCGGTATTGATCGGTATTTCGGTATAATACCGATCCCAATCCCGTAATCCCTAATACCGAATAACAAATGAAATTCAATCCCAATCCCAATCCCAAAAAATAATTCGTGTATTCGGTAATACCAAATATAGACAAATTCGGTACGGTATTCGGTATATCCCAAATACCAGTACCAAACTTCCAGCCCTACATACAGGGAAGGGAATAGAGCCGCGGACTGGCTCTCGAAGCACAATCTCGTCTATCCCTTCGGTGTGTATGAACTTGCGGACCCACCAAGCGGGATAAGGCAAGTGCTAAGAGATGATATGTTAGGAGTTACTTTTCAACGTCGCATTGTAATTCCTTCTTCCACCACCCCTTAGTCTGTCTCTGTAACTCTTTCTCTTTCTCGGCTCCGGCCTCCTTTCAATGCAAAAAAAAAAATTCTTAATTAATTAATTTTCTATTAACTAATCTAAGTAATTAAACATTCAT